ATACACACACTGATACACACACATTTTGGATTGATTTAATGTATTCAGCACTGAGGTAAAAACGTGAGTATTTGTTTTACAACACTGTGGGGACGAGAATCTGTTGACACGCCGGCTTTATGGGAACACCCCCCCGTATGGGATCGTACTCAGTCTCCACAATGTAATCCATTCAAGTTTTAATGTCATACCTCTGACCAGTATGGTGGTGGATTTCTTGGCGGGATTGCCCACGTTGTTGGACGCCATGCAGCTGTAGGCACCGCCGTTGTCCACGGTGACAGCGGGGATGGTCAGCGTGCCGCCGTTGATGACGCTCCTCTTTGGGAGCTCCTCCCCTCCCGGCCTCACCCACCTCAAGGTGGGAGGAGGATCTCCACCCGATGCCACGCACACCAGAGTGATCGTCTCCCCCGGGTTCACCACCAGGGGGTCGTCCAGGAGGAGCTTAATGGAGGGAGGAGCTGGTGGGGAGGAGGAAGGAAAGAGACATAATAATAATCATTCAGACTCTATTACACTTATTGAAATGTTACATACTACAGCTTTAATGCCCTGCGCTGGGCACGCACATACACACACTGTGATGTCACTCAGCACCTGAGCTGAGTGAGGCACAGAGCACCTTTCTACTCAGGTTTCTTTCTTTGTTTACAGTACAAATGTTCTGCACTTTAAGTTTTAAGTTGTAAGTTATATGTTATATTTTAGTTGTATTTTATATTGGAAATTTTTATACATTTTTTAATTATTATGTCCTTACTGTTCTACCCTCAGGGAGTCAGGCAAAGTAAGATTTTCATTGTGCGTACTAGCCTTGTGTTTATACTGTACATATGATATGATGAAACCTCTTGAATCTTGAATGATTCTTGTTTAATTTTTAAAATTTTTAAAGTTTTCTGTAAAAAGACTTCAAGACTACAGTTTCTCAGTCTAATGTTATATCATATGCAGGTGGATCTTAGGATCATATATATATATATATCTTTTACATTTTAAAAGGTTTTAAAATATCTTGTCATGTGTAAATAATCCATAGTGTTCTCCCTCTCACTGCAGAATCAGAGTATAAAAGCTTCCTGTCTGCAGATTCACATCAGAGTGAAATAAAAGCTGCAGAGCGACTCGCTGCCTCCACCAGCTGCACACGATGAGCTGCAGAAAAGCAGCTAAATGCAGAAATAATAATGAGGGAGATAAAAATAGCTGAGTCGACCTCTGTTAAGCTGACATCATGTAAATCCCATCAGCCCCTGGGGCGGGGCGGCAGGATCTACTGTACAGGTCAGAGAGCTGCAGTCTGAGAGAGGAAAATGATTTATTTATGATTTACATTCATCCAACTGTACACGCACAGGTACAGATGGATTAAAACAATAATACAGAGAAAGAAGGATTAAATATATGGAGACCTGAATGCCCATTTCTGCCAGAAAAAGAAAAAAATGATAAAATTATAAATACTATATACCATATTTTAAATTATGAGATAAATTAGTATCTTAATAGTGGAAGTCATACATTTCCCTTTTATGTAAAAAATATAAGCTATTAATTGGCTTTTTTGATCTTCTATTCCATACTTTTGACATACTATACTCTGTTTTACATGAGTCAGGCCACTGTTTCATTGGAACCTGCAAACATACTCACACTGTGGGGACTCCAGACTCCATCTGAGGACCAAGTCTGCTCCACACGAGGTCAAACTCTCAACTCAGCCTCAGTTTACAGGTTCAGGGTTAAAGTTCAAACAGTGGTGTGTGTGTGTGTGCGTGTGTGTGCGTTACCTGTCCTGTTGTTCAGACTGAAGTGGGCGCTCTTGTCTCCGATACCGCAGACGTTCCTGACGGAGGAGATGCAGGTATATTCAGCGTAATCTTGAGGACGAAGGTTCTTTAGCTTCAAGATCTTTGTCTCACCCTGCAACAAACGCACACAAAAGCGTCTTGTTATACTTGTGAGGACCCTCACTGACATACTGCATTCCTTAACTCTTACCCTAAAGCCTTGGTCACACTACATGACTTCCTGTCTTGTCAGTGTCAGACAACCTTATCATACTTTCTTCTTGTCAAGAAGTGTGTAACTATCCGGTTTGCTGCTTCCTGTCTGGTGCTGGAGAGAGAGACTGCTTTCATTGGTTGTAGCTCGTTGTGTAACTCCCTGAAATAACATATTTTGCTGTCGCCTGTGAGTTCTCTGATCGTGTCTTTGAACAGTTCACACATAGATATCGTCCTCACTGGAGCGCAGATTTGCCTCTGATCTGGGAGCATTTGATCTCCAAAAACTGTTGGCGAGTGGAAAATCAGGGCTGAAATCATGTAGTGTGAACTCAACATAACCCTGGTTTAAAACTGAAAATCTTCCTGCATATACTACACACTGTATATAATATATAATATATACTGTTTATATCTTTCACTACTGGACAACAGAGGACAGAAAATAAAACAATTTCCTGTGTGTAAACTCTTCAGAGAAGTTATTGAGGACAGTTTCTCTTCTGCCTGGAGCTCAGATTATCACCAGTCTAACTGGGACACAAACATCAACATCAACAAAGTTTTCACTCTTCACAAACTAACAGGATGTCCGCAGTGTCAGATGATATTGTCCTACCACCAACTCACTGGTTTATGTACTGGATCAAATGTGTTTGGCACTAACGGATGCAGATGTAGTTTCTGGATTTGTGTGATGTGCGTAGGGGAGATGTGTTTGAGTGCTATTTGTGGGAGGTTGATGTTTATGTATCGTGCTGTGAGAGATGGTGGGTTGTTGTTAGTTAGTTAATGTGTCTGAATATTGGGATGGGTCATGTAAATGACCAGATGAGTGGTGCCTATAAATCCATTGGTCTCTAGTTTGTGGTTGTAGTCTCATGAGGTTGTGATCATCCTAGAACTCATTTTATACAAAAGATGCTCTCACTGCAGTGAAATGATGACTATGTGGATGAACATCCTCACACATGAATACAGTTGGGATCATTGGATACACAAGAGTCCCAGCTTTCCATTCATATTTATGCATTCCAACACTTCACAGACTCCATTATACAGAAATATTCAAATACGCTAGGTGAAAATAACACCTTTACAGTATACTGCATGCAAAATACTGCATGTGATTAGCATAAAGTGTCGGCAAAGGGGAGACTCGTGGGTCATTTTCATTTCATTTCCATTTTCATTCAGAGATCTTGAAGTCAGAGGTCAAGGGATCCCTTTGAAAATGGCCATGCCAGTTGTTCCATCACCAAAATGTAACAACAACAACATAAATTTGGAGCGTTATTTAACACTATGATTATTTAATAATTATTCAATGTTATTTAATATTTCTATCTTCACTCTAGACCTAAAACTGAGCTACAGCCTCTGAAAGACAGTAATGTTGGCTGTCGAGTCGAGGAGGTTACCACTGCTCCAGTGGACCAGACACCAAAATAAAATCTTAATTCATTTCAATTTGCAGACCTGCAGTACATCCATGTCTGATATGCTGTGTTTTATGTATTGTGATTAATTTTGATCTAATTATTTTATTGTCACCTAGTATGACGAAAATGAGGTGGCTACTAAAATAATGACCAAGACTCAAATAAGAGCTGTCACAAAATAGTACTCTGACGCTGATTACTAGCAATGTGTGTATATTTCTTAAATTCTCATTTTTGTGACCTTTTTTTTTGTAGTCAGTAACTCACCTTTCTTGGTCAAGAGACTCTTAAAAAATGGAATTTTATCTCAATGATGCTTTCGTGGTTAAACAAAATAATTAAAACGCAGTTCAAATAAAAAGTAAGAAATAAAATTACAATTACAAATACAAATACAATCTAATGCAAACAGAAGATGAAATAACAGCATCGGGACGGAAAATAAAATAAACAAAATTAAATTAAAAACATTTTTAAACTACAAATAAAACACAAACTATAAGACATTGAGTGAGTAACTAGAAATTACATAAAACAATAATTCTGGCTTAATTAGCTCCTCCTCCTCCTTCACCCTGCTCCTCCTCATTTCTCCTTCTCTTCTTCTTCCTCCCTCCCTCTCCTCTTCCTCCACACTTCTCCACCTCGCTGCCAAATCTCTGTTATCTCCTCTGGCAGCCTCGGTGCTGCCTTCCGCCTCACAGACAGATGAGATGAGATTAGATGACATTTAAATGGGATGTTTGTGCAAAGATGGCGGCCAATTTTTTTGGCGGATGAGGAGGAGGAGGAGGAGGAGATAAGTCCCTCATTAGTGCCTACGAGGAGAGAGGGGGGAGGGGTTAACGAGTTCTCGAGCTTGGCGCTGAAGGCATTACAGTCGACAGCGTGAATGTTATCTCTGCTGCGGTATTACACGGCCCACTAACCGGCCGCCTGATTGGCCGGCTTCCCTTTGCTCCAAATTAAATCTAAACCACGGCCAAAAGAGGAGAAAAAAATACAAATCTGGAATCTCCATCTGCAGAAATGTTTTAATCCACAGGAGGAGGAGGAAGAGGAGGAAGAGGAGGAAGAGGAGGGCTTTAACTACATGGATGGCTCGGCTTTTACAAACTGTTGAACTCACTGACGGAGGACGATGAATATTCAGATTTAATACAAGAAAGGAAGCAGGAGGAGGTCGAGTTGGCGTTGGTATTAACTGTAAGACAGAAAAATAATGTGGCCCACTAAAAAAATTACCATCTTTATTCTAAAATTGGTGCAGTACTTAAATATTCAATTTTGATATAGAACCAGGCATCATCATAAAACTAAAGTAAAACCACATTCAAACATCAAAAATAATGTTGGAGGCTATGTTGGTCTTCTTCTCATAGGAAAAGACTATTATAAGAGAATACAGTGCCTTGCGAAAGTATTCGGCCCCCTTGAACTTTTCAACCTTTTGACACATTTCAGGCTTCAAACA